TAACCGTAAACTTGAGTAGTGTACCATATCAATTGTAAATGAACTCCACATAGTATAACGTAAGAATGGGTACCAGAATAGCCCAATAATAGCCCTAAGAGACATGTAATAGGTGCTGGATAGACACCATGAGGCTATTTTGTATCTTGGTCAGTTCTGTACCGTTTTCTACCAAATAAGTGTTGATTACCAGCTATTTGATGTCGATTTCAGGGCCTGAAGAGACGAGAGGCATCTGCCATCATATTTTTGAGATATCTGTCATGCTAAGTTTCATGATTCATCAGGATGGTGTACTCTATCTTTGTGAGTTCTCCATCACCATCCTTCATTAAAGGCTCATTTACAACATATTCTAGTGTAGCTTAAAGGCCCCAAAGAGACGAGAGGTTTGCGTGTCTGCGTTCTGGAGATATCTTCCATTTTCTGTTTTGGGGAGCAAGTACCTTAGGTCAGTCAAATTTCCATCGTTTCTTATGATCTAGGGCTCGTTTAAAACATATTCTAGTGTCGTTTGAAGGTCCCGAAGAGACGAGAGGTTTGCGTGTCCGCGTTCTGGAGATATCTTCCATTTTCTGTTTTCAGGATGCATGTACTCTTATCTTTGTCAAATTCTCCATCGCTTCCTTCATTAAGGCTCATTTACAACATATTCTAGTGTAGCTTAAAGGCCCCAAAGAGACGAGAGGTTTGCGTGTCTGCGTTCTGGAGATATCTTCCATTTTCTGTTTTGGGGAGCAAGTACCTTAGGTCAGTCAAATTTCCATCGTTTCTTATGATCTAGGGCTCGTTTAAAACATATTCTAGTGTCGTTTGAAGGTCCCGAAGAGACGAGAGGTTTGCGTGTCCGCGTTCTGGAGATATCTTCCATTTTCTGTTTTGGGGAGCAAGTACCTTAGGTCAGTCAAATTTCCATCATTTCTTATGATCTAGGGCTCATTTAAAACATATTCTAGTGTAGTTTGAAGGTCCCGAAGAGACAAGAGGTTTGCGTGTCCGCGTTCCAGAGATATGTTACATTTTCTGTTTTGGGGAGTGAGTACCCTAGGTCAGTCAAATTTCCATCATTTCTTATGATCTAGGGCTCGTTTAAAATGTATTCTAGTGTCGTTTGAAGGTCCCGAAGAGACGAGAGGTTTGCGTGTCCGCGTTCCGGAGATATGTTACATTTTCTCTTTTGGGGGGAGTTGAGCTGTATCTCAGTCAGCTTTCCACCATTTTTCTTCACTGAAGGCTCGTTTACATTGTATTCTAGTCGTATTTGAAGGAGCTGAAGAGATGACATCCATACATGCTCCTATTTCTATGCTATCTCACATCCTCCCCTATTTTCTTTGCGAATTTTTATTTATTTTCATAATCCTTTGGTTTCTATTATAGTTCTATGCTCGAAATATACATTACACTGTGTATCTATCAGGTAGACAGCATCTAATTTACCCAGATTTATAGTCACATCACTTTGAGAATTATGTGCCGGCTTGAGCCGGCTTTGGGTCAGCTAAAAGCAGAGCCGAGCCACTTAAGGAAATTTAGCTGGCTTACATAAGCTGGCTCTCAGCTAGCCGAGCCGCGGCAACACTAATGCCAGATGCAATAATAAATTGTGCAAAAAAAAAAGTTGTATAGTGAAGTTAATCTTATTTAAACTATCTGCCATGTCTGTATCATTAGTGTATTGCCTCAGCTTGGGGGTTGAAGCTTTTTTTGTGACCTACTCTAACATAGTCCTTCCAATAAGCCAAATAGCACTCAGAAAGAAGTTGGGAAGTTCAGATGTGCGGTAAACACCTATTTTATGTATTTACTGTCTGAAATTGTGGAAAACAAGTGTGCCATGCTCCTTCATTCCTGTGTAGGTGCTATCCAACTTGACAAATGGACTCAAGAACACAACTGCACCAATGCACAATGTGGAGGGAGCCTTGTCCCCTTGGTGTTGAAAGAATATTTCATGTGGTCCCACCTGGTGTGCATGTACACGGAGGTCTTTACCCTCCCCCACGTAATCCATATGGACTCCAGTGTACTCCAGTGTACTCCAGTGGATTCCAGTGGCCCTCTTACCAGGCCAGATTGGCTGGCAGAATGCCCAGTCCAGTCCAGTGGACTCCCACTGGACTGCAAGCCACTTTCCTGAGTCCAGTCCCAGTCCAGTGGACTATGAGTCCAGTCAGAGTCCAGTGGAGTCCAGTGGATTCCAGTGATTCCAGTATATTATTAGTATTATATATGAATACTACTAAAAAAGTGAAAATAAACCATACAATCAACAAGCTAGACTTACAATTCTATTGATCAATGAATGGAAAGGTTATAATTTACATGTAGTGTGGGTCAGTGATAGCTGCAATAAGGATTCATGATTTTGTTCAGTCTGCAGGGTGAGGTCACGTGACTTACTTGAGGGTGTGCCATATCATCATGTCTCCTGTTTGCAGCATGGTCACACTTCTGTGACCATCCCATTCCCTTCCACCACCACCACCCTTCACCACTCCCCTCTAACACTGCCCACGCCAACGACGCCCACGCCAATGACATTGCCATGTCATGGGCCAAGGGTATGTATGCCCCACCACCCCAATGCCCCGTTCTCACCACGACAGGCGCCAGCGGCACGCGACAATGACGACGACACACGAGGAGGACAATGACACACAAGGATGACAACACACAAGGACGATGACACACAAGGACGACAACTACATGCTGAGACGACAACACATGACAATGACAACACGTGATAACGACAACGACATGTGATGACGACTACACGTGGGGTCGACAACACATGACAACAACAACACAAGGACATGTGAGGACAATGATGAGATACAACAACAACAACAAGATGTGACGACGACAAACGAGTGCCCACGAAAACCCCACCCCCACCACACCTGAAAAACAATACGCCCACGAAAACAACAAGCGCCCACCACCGCCAATGCCAGTGTGGAATGGTGATGAGGGCCCAGCAGCACCACCCTTCCCCTCTCTCCCCCCATCACTACCTCCTTTCTTCACCACTCCCACTCCCCTCCACTCTCTCCCACCCTTCACTCCCTCCCCCCTTTCCCCCCTCCCCCTTTCCTGCTCCTCTCTCCCCGCCTCTGTTTCCTTACCCCTTCATTGCTCCCTCCCCCCTCTATTCCTCTCTTCCCCCCCCCTTTCCCTTCCCCCTCCCTCCCCCCTCTCTGTAACATAGAATCTAGTAAATTTAATTAATTTAATTAATAAATATACTTCAATTTTGTTTTTTGTTTTGAAGTCTAAGTTCAGGAATTCTGGATTAACTTAGGTCTGTGGCAGTCCAGTCCAGTCCAGTTTTGTGTTGGGAGAGTCCAGTGGAGTCCAGTTTTGTGATTTGCAGTCCAGTCCAGTCCAGTCCAGATTTGTGCTTGCAGTCCAGTGGAGTCCAGTTTTGTGGATATTGCCAGTATGTAGTGAAGTCCAGTGGAATCCAGTGGAGTCCATGTGGATTATGTGGGGGATGGTAAAGTACTGATGTACATGCAGTCAAAAACAACTGCAATTGGAATGAGGATTACACAGCTGTGGGGACAAAGTCAGTTTGGTTGAGATAGAGGGAGGTTGAACATAAAGGAGAGGGTTGTGATGGTTATCAGTGTGTTTTGCTGATCACTTTAGTTTCACATGTGAAATCTGTGAAGGTTAGCTGTTCATTGACATTTTGGATGTATCCAACATGTGGAGGTGAAGCGTCATCATACCTAGAAACTCCAAAAATGTAACATACTACTTAATTGAGTTATGTTTTTGACATAGGAAGTCAGAAGTTTCCTTTTTTGGGGGGGTAGGGGTAGGGGGGAGTAGGCCAAGGGCACCTTAATTTGTAATATGACTGTATATCCAAAATCCATGTTCTGCCACCCCCTTGGCCCTAGTTCATTTTGGGTTCATTGTTCTCAGAGTTGTTGGACATGGTGACAGATGGTAAAGGGGTGTTGGGACACCCGGAAATAGAGATCTGTAGGCTCGTTGGATGTGCTGTACATTGGTATAGACGATGCCCGTAATTTTCGCATTTATTCGAATTATTTTATTTTTTTGTGAAAAAAAAGCACATGGACATGAATTTCTGAAAGGTCTGAAACCACAAATACTGTGGTATTTCAACCAATTGTTTGGTCACTTGTCACATCGGACAATGAACTGAACAGATCTGGTGCTTGTCACATGTCACTTGGGAGTGGGGGTGGGCAATCCCGCTGTTGCATTTGGGAGCATGATGTAACACACTGTGGCTGATTTGCACCCCAAAACAGTGACCCAATGTCACATGTGCATCACACATGGCCTCAAACCCAGGCTGCTCACCATAAACAAAGTTCTGAGCAGTGCTATGAAAGAAAATACACATGAATGTAATTCTATATCATTTGGAAGTACATTTTTTAATTCAAGTGAGTCAGAATCAGCAATTAAGAGAAGATAACATGTAAATGCCATATATTCCTCAATTTCATGGCCACCCTCAGTCCTAGTGTGTGGTGCATGTCTTCCTGGCACAAAAATTGTCAGAACATCTTGAGATACTATAAAATGAATTTAAGAACTGCTTTTAGGTCTTCTTAATGTAGATATAAGCTGCTTTGGTACCTGTTGTTGTTGCTGCTGAGCAAAGAATAGACTATGCAAGAGCAACCACCCACCCCCAGGTTATGCTTCAACAATGAAAGATGATGAGAAAAAAGATTCAAACAAAATATTTTTGATGGATTTCTTATATCTGTCCTGGAAGTGTGAGATATATTTTTTGGATGAGTTTAGTGCAAAGGGAAGGTGATTTTAAAATTCTGGCCTGAACATTTTGTGCCTGTAATTGCATATATCAACTGTTCATAATAAAAGTTTACCCAGAAATGAGTTGTTGAAGGGGGAACCAAGGTACCAGAATGGGGGGCCTCTTCAGCACCATTTGGCAGGGAGTTTCCTCATTCCACAACTATAAGTAAATAATAATACAAGGCTACTTTAAGGATGTATAGATTTCCTATCTAAATCACGTTTCTGCATGTTGGTCAATGGAATCAGTACTTTACCCTCCCCAGGTTATTCCATATGGACTAGATGGAATCCATACTTTCCCAGATGGATTCCATGGAATGGCTGATGGATTCCATACTTCCCCCACATGGATTCCATACTTTTCCACATGGATTCCATACTTTTTCCACATGGAATCCATACTTTATTCTATATGTTCTATACCATTTTAAGGGTGGAATCCACATGGAATGACTTTATGAAATAATTCTAAGTCCACATCATGTAATCATGGTTTCTATATTCATGACAGTCATAGTTGAGCAGGAAAGATTGAAATGTATTAAATAGACTACACCATTTATTTTTGCTATTCTCAATATTTAAGGGAGGGGGGAAGACAGGGGGAAGTGATGGAGGGGGGAGGGTGTAGTAGAGAGTGAGGGGGGAGGGAGGGGGAAGGAGTGATGGAGGAGAGAGGGAGTGGTGAAG